CGGTGTGGCTTTGGGGGGGGGCAAGGGGGGGCGTGCGGAAGCTGCGGGCAGGAGCGACACCAAAAGAAAGGGCTGCGAGAAGCCGGAGCCTTAACCTTCCCGGGTTTTTCTACCTGTGGCTCCACGCTGGTGCGTAGGAGTTGGCTGAGTTTCTCCCCGAGCTTCCAGCCCTTGAAGAGCAGAGGGATGGGGGGGATGCTGGCTGTTAGGTTTCCTGCTGCGTGTCCTTATTTAAGGGAGACTACCCCAAGGGGCAACCGTCTGCAGCAGCTATCTAGGAACGGGCATGCACTTCCCAAAGCTCTTCTTGCTGAAAAGCTGTTGTTTCCTACAGGATGAGCGGGCACCCGGCACTTCACACAACGCAGTGAGCACGAGCCCGGGCTCGGGCAGCACAAGACTCCAAGGAACAGAAGTTGTCCAGGGATGGCACTTGATCTCTACAGGGAGACGGTGGCTTTGAGCAGGAGCATCCAGAGAGGCATTTACAACTAGTGGGAGCTGGGTTCAGCCCCCTGGTAGTAGGATAGTCCTGGTTAACGTAAGGCCAAAACGGAGGTTAGGAGAGTTGCTGCAGAGGGGGCGGGAGTGGGGAGTTAAGGCTTTCGTGGAGAGAGAGGTGTGACCTACAGCTCTCGTGACCTGAATCCCAAATATCGCCTGAACCGAACACGTTGTCCCTGCTTCAACTGGAGCCCTTGGCAGGTAACTGGCAGCTGCGGGGAGACTGTGCTACGAGGGTTGGGGACTGGTCCTAACCCTAATACCGTACACACCCTCTGAAGAGGGAGCACAGCTGGCCTCCCTGCCGAGCCTGCCCCGAGAGCTAGCCCGCAACGCAGACAGTGGCCCACGATGTGCTCACCAAACAGCCCCTTTCTAGAGATTCCTGCTAGTTTTCCTTAAAAGAAAACATTACAAAAAGCATTCCCTTACCAAAAAAAAACCTCTACCTGGTAATTACTCAGGAGGAGATTGTGGTAACCTGGATCACAGTGCTGCTTATTTTTTTCCCTCTTTTTTTTTTTTTTAATTCCTGACTGCCAGATTTATGTCTGTAACACGCAAGAACAATGAAACAAAACGCTTAAAACAAGAGCATTGCACAACAAAACAGGACCATAAAGTAGTGTTACTGAAACAGCCCCAGACAAGGCTACAAGATCAAAAGAAGCGAACAGCTAAAGACTAGTTAGCTACTAGAAGCAGGTTTTCCTTTTAAAAGCCCCAAAACAGGCATGAAATGTTTGGTCAAAAACCCATCTAAGTTCCCTCTAACTTTCCCAGCTGTGTGCTAAGTGCGGGACCTCCAGGTTTGTAACAAGACACGAGATTCCAAACGGGTGGAGAAGTTCTTCAACCACAGGGCCCAGGAATGGCCTTGGAAATTCATCAGCGAGCATTTAAAAACTCCCAAGTCTCGAGTATTGCTTGCAAGCCCAGCTAACGAAACGGATGTGCTGCACTGGTAAAGTGGGGTTGTGAGTCCTGGAAGTCTGAGGCAGCGCGCGGGATGCTGCCCGGCTTCTTTTACAGCGTGGAAAGCTTTCACCTACCTAGGACTAGGTTATCGGTGTGTTACAGGGTGCACTGGCCTTCTGTCCCTACTACGGGTAGGAGCTACGCTCGCGACACGGGAGGCAACGCCACTCCAGAGCAAGCAGGCAGCACCTGACTACTCCGCGCGTGCCACAGCTTCGCAGGGATCCCCTTGGCAACGCAGAACTTGCAGGGTACGGAAAGCCGCGTCCCGCAGACCTTCAGTTTAAGGTCAGTAGGAGCATTCCCTGATCTAGGAGCTGCAGGATCTGGCCCAGGGCAAACAGCTGTTCATGCAGGTAACTCAGCACTTACACACTCACTCCCAGCTGGGAAGTTAGGCTCCAATTTACAAGCTGGATGTAATGCTATAGCGACTTTTTATAGTTTTATAGTATTTTTTTGCCTTTTTTTATAGTGATGATACCGTCTGGCCAGCCACAACGTGGCATTTAACGGCCTGGACCGTAGGTAGCCTAGCACTAAAGAGGAATTGGCATGAAACTGGGCGTGCTGTTCCCAACTGTGTGGGATTGGTGCATTTTTTGCGTGCGGTGTTTTTTTTCTTTTGGTTTGAGGAACGCAAACCTGCCCTCCTTGGCCTCCAGAGCTGGCCTCTGCTTTGCAACAGAGAAATTTTCAGGTAATTTGTTTTCCTGCAGCCAGAAGCAGCTTGTTAACTAAGCAACTGAACAAGTGCCTTGTATTCTCAACTTGCTTCAGAGCCTATTCCACAGGCTTGAAGTCAATCCAGGCTCCCCCCCGCCAGCCCACTTCAAAGCAACTGAAACAACTGAAGTGGATCCGCTGTGCCTAAGCAGTAATTTTCAAGGGAGAGGCAGGATCTCGGCGTTTATCAGGAGGAAAATACTTGGGAAGTCTTCCCGCCCGCCCCGCTCTCGGCCCGCTCCTGCGTACCCTCGGATGGGGGAGCAGAACGGGTTCTTCCCCAGGCCTGGCGTGGAGACCCTTTCTTGGAAGCTAGCGGTGGGAAGGGCGACTCGCTACACAGGGGGCTCGCGGGGAGAACAGCTCTGCATGCACGGTCCGTCATGCGCAGGACCGCGGGGAGGAAGCGGCGCTAACCGCCAACGTCTGACCCGGGGAAGGAAAA